CAAGCCATCAGGTCCAGGACTCAAACCACAGTCGGCATGTGGGAGTCCAGTGCCCTTAACCACCATGCCACCTGCCAGCACCACAAGTATATGTATTTTTGCCCTAATCCCACATTTGTCACAAGATTCAGTCATTTAAATTTACATTACTGGAGCTGACAGGTGGTGCGGTGGTTAAGACACTGTTCTCCCACATGGACAACCACAGTTTGAGTCCCAGACCTGGTTGCTTGCTTTCTCACTTTTCCTCTTTCTCTCTCTGGTCAAATTAAAATAGAATTAAATAAATAATTCTTTTAAAAATAATAAACTTGCATTATTATCATAATCTCATTTTCTTTTGTATTACATTGTGTTTATTATTGATTTTGCTATTCTATAAATTCAACTTTAAAAAAATTGCCAGAGAGCATGTACACTCCCTGGAGAGAGACAGAGAGAGAGAGAGAAAGTGAGAAAGTAACCCTTTATAGGGGATGATCATACTGCAATCCCTTCTCCTCCATTTCTCCCTCCTTTTGGAATTTTTGGGCATGCATGCACACACATCTGGTATGTTTTTCAAGTCATTGAATCCAGGACTTTGAACTACAAAGTTGGTCATGTGGGATCAAACCACCTTAACCACCACGCCACCAGCTGACTCAATATAGGTAAAACATTTAGCCTTTCTTCCTGATAATGGCTTAATCATTTTCGTCCTCTCCCCTTATTTCATTAGTTTGGAAAATTTTATTTTTACTAATTTTCCAACAATATACTTTTTTCATTTCTGAAAGGCATGATTTGATCTATTTCTCTGTTATTTTATCAGAATAAGAATATAATTGGACCTTTCTTTGTAGATAAATATTCTCTATCCTCCATATTTGCCTCAGCAAGATGAATGGCATTGCTTATAGATTTCACTTGAAAAATTTAAGCTGTTCGTTTGAAGACTATAGTTTTATTTTAAGTCAATTTTGCTTCAAGAAATGTCAGATGGACTCCCATATGGTTGCTGGACTCCCATATGGCTGACAGTGGTTCAAGTCCTGGACCTGGTGGCTTGAAAATCATGCCAGGGGGACCAGCAGTTGGTGTAACAGCTATGTCGCTGGACCCCCATGTAGCTGACAGCGGTTTGAGTCCCAGACCCGGTGGCTTAAAGGGCGTTTAGGCGTGCGTGCCCAAGATCCTAAGAGGAGAATGGAGGAGAAGGGATTGCGGCATGGCCATCCCCCCGGGGGGTGATTTCTCACTTTCTGTCTTTCTGTCTCTCTCTGTCTTTCTGGTGAGCGCATATACCCTATAGCAAAAACTTCTAAAAAAAAAAAATCATGTGAGGTGAATGAGTGTGCCCAGAATCCTAGGAGGAGAATGGAGGAGAAGAAATTGCAGCATGGTCATCTCCCTTGCGGGATGATCTCTTACTTTCTCTCTCACCGTCTCTGTCTCTCTCCCTCTCTGGTGAGCACACACACTCTAAGGCAAAACCCTCTAAACAAACAAACAAAAAAGAACTATCAAATTAAAATTTGTATTAAAAATTCTTAGTCACTTCACCTATAGTAATTGCCTTTAGCTATATGAATGCGTCCCCCAGGGGTGTGTATTTTATTACCAAAGTCATTGCTAAACATTTTGTTCTCTTTATTTTGCGATGTCTCGTCTGATTTACATTAATTTATTTATAATGTGTTCTTGAGTTTTTTTCACAAATAGAGTACATTGGTAGAATACTTTTCAAATTATTTCAAATCTGAAATTGTCATTCTTGGGGACCAGTGGTTAGTGTAATGGCTATGTCGCTGCACTCCCATGTAGTTGACAGCAGTTCGTGTTCCAGACCCAGTGGCTTAAAACACGCCGGGCGTGTGTGCGTGTGTGCCCAAGGTCCTGAGAGGAGAATGGAGGAGAAGGGATTGCTGCATGGCCATCCCCCCGGGGTGGGCGTGATTTCTCGCTTTCTGTCTCTCTGTTTCTCTCTGTC